AGAAAAAAACAAAATCGAATAAAAAGAAATCAATCAATCAATCAATCAATCAACGAAAAAAAGTTGATCTGTTTCTTTATTTTTTCCTCTTATTGTTCTTCTTAAAGCCCTATACCTCCTCCTTTTCGCCCCAACCTATTTCTCTTTTTCTTCTTGTAGCCCTAAACCTCCTGCTTGCTCGTCGTCATTGCCTTCTTTGTTTGCAGGCTCAACATGAAGAACAGACTGACAAAGTCTGTTCCGGACCGGACCACGTCCTCGGGCGGAAGCAAAGCATGCAGCTGTGCCGGACGCCCAAGATCGAACTTTCGAGAGGAGGGGCCAGCAGCGCATGCATTCAACAAAAATCCCGAAGAACAAGCAGAGGTCGAAGAGGAGCTCAGCGGACAGGAATACGACGAAGATGAGGAGGACAAGGACAACCCGATGGGAGTACAGGACGTGGGGGGAGACGAAGATGAGGAGGAGGAAGAAGAAGAAGAAAAAGATGAGGACGAGGAAGAAGAGGAAGGAGAGGAAGAAGAGGATGACGAGGAAGAAGAGGAAGAAGAGGAAGATGAGGAAGTTGAGGCTGAAGAGGAAGACGAGGATGTCCAGGACGTAGGCAGGGCACGGAAGAGGAGGAAAAAGGACAGTTGGGTGCAGAACATTCTCATGTCGGCCAAACAAACCACGGAACTTCTTCCATTCTTGTGGGCTGTTTGTCTCACAACTGCCGGAGTGAAGCTGTACGCGCAGACGGAGAAGCACTACAAATGTTATGGCGAGATCATTTTTGCAAGTTGGGTGATGGACGAACCGGACTCGTTCGCCGAAATGTAGGTTGTAACGGGCAAAACACTTCTCAGCTTCCTTCTTGCCTCGAAGAAAATGGGCCCAACAAATTCCAGATTGACAACAAGAGGCTGGCAGCAGCGAGCAAAAAAGGTTGCAGGGTGCGTATCCTCATTGCCCTGAACTCTTATAGACCTATAACCACCAAGCAGTACTGTATGTCTGTCTGCTAAGTGATTATAGTTCTATAATCTCTGCTAAGTGATTATAGTTTTATAATCTATGAGATTATACTGTATGTCTGTCTGCTAAGTGACTACAATTCTGTAGTTCTTTATGACTCTCAAAGATTGTAGAACTCTTATAGTTCTATAATCTCTGCCATCGCCATCGCCATCGCCATCGCCGCCCGCCATCGCCATCGCCATTGCCACTGCCACCGCCATCGCCA